GAGGATGAGGCAAGAGAATAGCTTGAGCGCACAAGTTTGAGAATGACACCAGGACACTCTACTGAGGGTGACAAAGTAAGACTCTGTCTCCAAAGAAAGGAAAAAAAGGATATTAGATTATAGTTTTCCTGGCTTTAGTATCAAGGTGATATGACTGGTTTTGTAGAATGAGTTGTGGATGATTTTTTCTTTCTCAATGGTATGGAATAATTTCTGTATTATAGGTACCAGGTCCTCTTTGTGGGTCTCATAAAATTTGACTGTGAGACCATCTTGTCTGGGAATTTTTTTCTTTAGAAGTTATTTTATTGCTCCTTCAATTTCAATATTTGATATTGGTCCATTCAGGAGGTGTATTACTTCTTGACTGAGCCAAGGGAAATTGTGTGTTTCCAAGAATTTGTACATTTCCTCAGTGTTTTCTAGTTTATGTGTACAGGGTGTTTTAAGGTATTCAGAGATGGTGATTTGTATTTTTGTGTTATCAGTTGTAATATCTCCTTTTTGGTTTTTTACTGAGCTTACTAGGTTTCAGACTGAAATTTTATGTCAATGGAGGTCCAAGTACTCTAGCACCATTTTCTGATTTGCTTTTATAACTTTGTGAAAATGCAGATGGACTTACATGGGTCTATTTATGAATTCTCTCTTCTGTTTTATTAATCTAAACATCCAGCTGTCTGCCAATATTTTAATTACCTTAGAGTAGAATAAAACTTAATATGATGTAGAATGATTTCTTTATTATTCTTTTTTAAGGCTGTTACAGCAATTCTACTACCTATCCCTTTCCATTTAAACTTTAGAATAAGCCGATCTATGTCCCCCAAAAATCTTGCTGGGATTTCCATAGAAATGATATTAAAACTATAGATCACGTGCAAAGAAATGGTAATTTTATTATGGTGAGCATTTTAATTCATGAAAAATATGTGTACCTCCAGGTTTTTTGAACAACATTTTAAATTCCAGCATTCATATTCTGTTTTAATTTAAATATGGGTTTCACTTTGTTTGAAATGATTATAAATGGTATGTTCTTATTTTGTTTCCACGTGTTGTTAGTATATAAATGTGATTAATTTTTGTGTGTTGAACTTATATCCTATAACCTTGCTAAACTCACATATTGCCTCTAGGACATTGTTTGTTTTTTATAATTCTGGGATTTTCTACATAGACAATCTCTGGAAATACAAATGGGACACTCTTATTTGTTTATTTTCAAATGTCTTTGTCTGTATGCCTTTTTATTTAGTTTTCTTATCTTATTGTATTGCCTATGCAATAATGTTGTTCCAGTATGACATTGCATATTGGTGGTAAAAAAGAGCCTTTTTATTTATTTATTTTTCAGAGACAGAGTCATAAGCTGTTGCTCTGGGTAGAATGCTGTGGCATCACAGCTCATAGCAACCTCCAACTCAGGCTCAAGCGATCCTCTTGCCTTGGTCTTTTTCTATTTTTAGTAGAGATGGGAGACTCAGGCTGGTCTCAAACTCATGAGCTCCAGCAATCCTCAGCCTCCCAGAGTGCTAAGATTACAGGCATGCTATAGTGTCCAGCCTCTTACAGGTACTTTTTATTGAATTGTGATACTTTCTTCCAAATTCCAATTTTATGAATTTTTTAACCAAGTTGTTTCCTGGTTCTGGGCATGATGGGTGATTTTCTATTATACCGTATTATACACTTTGGCTATTAAGTTTGAAGATTCTGGGTCTTTCTTACTTTTAATTTTAGCAGACCATCATACTGCTTTAGGTTTAACAGGTATGTTCCTACCTAGTTTTGTGGGCTGTGGTTCTAGTGACACAGAGCCTTTACAATGTTACTTTGGTCCTCTCATTTCATGGGTGACATATTCTTTGGTCCCTGCTGGTGCTGCTTGAGAGGAAAGGAAAAGCTTCTTCAAGCTGTTCTACATGGTGCATTTAGGAGGAAAAAGGGAGTCTCCATCCCATAGAAATAAAGGAAGGTACCCAGACAGTGTGCTTGTTATGGGGGGCATGCCTCTGTTGCTGTCCCTGGCCACATGTTGTTATATCTACATGAGAGAAGGGAGCCTCTGACTTGGCAGGGACAAGTGTTTCTCCTGACTACTTGTTATCAGGGAGTCTCCTACTGGAGGCCTTTTGCTGGTGCTGCTGAGATTGCCATGTTGTCAGCAGGTGTCACCTGGGATATGGAAAGGGTGAACGTTCTGTTTTTAGACTAGGGGCTTATGAAGTGCCTGCTCATACCAGACTTCTTCCTTGGGCAGTGGGGAGAAGGCACAAGATGCCCTGTGACTGTGCTTGGTGTTCAGTCCTTAGGTCCCATATGGATTTACTTTTCCCTTACTATCTTCAAAAATTCTCCAATGGTCGTTTCTTATATAATTTTCAGGAGAGGACTGGGGAGATATGAGTGTACACTGTCATCTCAGTTAGAAGTTTTGATCCCACTCATATTTTCCACCTGAATTCCTGTTGCAATAAATTGAATAATAGCTTTTTAGTCTACCCTTTTTAACCTGGCTTTTTTTCCTCTTCATTTTATTATTTGGTGTCTATTTCTTGCTCTCCATTGTTCTTTGCTTATCTCTGCTCCTGAGGTGTCTGTTCTCTGCTCTCTCTTGTGATTACCTTATATTCTGAGAGATACAAGAAGTCCAATTCTGGTTCTGACCAGAGTATAAAGAGAGCCCATTTACAAGATGAAACATTTTACATGGGATTCTCACTGCAAAGATTTCAATACTAGTACTATATCTATTTCACTCATTGAAAACAACCACTATACACACGTTGTACATTCACTCACACTGAACAAACATCAAAATCAGTTTCTAGATTCTTTATTTTATTGTATTATGTATTTCTAGATTCTTTATTTATTGTATTATATAATATACAATAAATAAATAATATAAATAAATGATATACATACAATATATAATGCATCTATAAATAATTTTATAAAAGATATAATACATATATTAATAAGTGTTAAATTGCACACAAACTTTATGATTGTCCTGTATACGAGCACATATGTCTCTGAAATATAAATCCATGGAAAGTGATGATTAATCAAAGATCAAGGATGAGCAAACCAAACAGCCTTTCTGTACTGTCAGCTCCCTACTCATCTGCCACACCCAAAGTTGATGTTCTCCGTCTGTCTGCCTCCTCTACATTGGCATTTAGGTCTTTGGAACAGCAGCTACTATTATGGCTTAAATCCCAAAGAATCATTGTGGCCTAATTGTTTCTAAAATTGTTTCTAAAACAGCAATATTATTGTCAACAAACATGAGCACCACGGAGTCTCTAAATAAACTCTGCCTTCAGAAGTTGCATCTTCTAGTGTACAGGTGGGGTACTATGCTCTAGGAGAAAATTTACATAGCACATAATTTCTTTTGTTCATTTTTTTTGTATGTCAAATTTGGAGGGATGTTATGTGCAAATTCTATGTCATTTTGCCTTTGGGGCTTTGATATCCACAAACTTTGCTATTTGAAGGGGTTCTAGAATCAATCCTCCAGGGATGCTGAGGGATAACTATACTTTATCAAGGTTACAGCTGGTAAGAAATGGAATACAAGCTTTAAATACATGGTTTTTAAACTGGTTTGTAAAAGAATACTAGGCCAGTTAGGGTCTCAATTTGGCTCTTCATCTGTGAGTTTATCACAGTTTCTCAATATAAAGTCTTGCTTGTTATTGCATATATATTTATGTATAAATTTAGCTACTTTTATGAGAAAATTAGCTGAAACTAAGCAAATAGGATTATAATCATGAAGTATTTCTTTTTTCCAGACATATGTTTTGAATACATTCTAATTTGACATTATGTTAGTCTCTAAGAATACAGAATTAAATTAGACATAGTTCCTGCCTATTAGGAAGTGTAAAATAAAGTGATTCAGAGCAGAAAGCATGATTAAGGCTAACTAAAATGACTATTAATTAAAAAACAGATATGCTTACTAAGTGAAATATACTTGTATGCATCTAATAACATAACCTTAAAATGTGCAAAATAAAATTTTATAAAATTATGTAACAACTTACAATGAATCCCCCTGGAAAATTCTATTAAGGTCTTCTATTTTGGCATTTGTTTACATAACTGTTTGGCTTGCTACAAATCCATTTCCTATCTGTGTAGGTCCTGGCACTACTGATTCCATTGTCATTCAGATAGGCACGTTCTCCATCTTCTCCAATAGCAAACCTATAACAAAATGAAAAAATATTAAATATTACTAATTTGACATTTGTATTTGTTCTTCCCCTATAATCTCCAGTGTTCCCACTCCATTTTTTTAATGAGAATAGAAGAGCAAAAGCGTGTCATTAATATTGCTTCTTAGTAAGATGCACCATTTCTGTATTTAGTTTCCTTTATGTTTTCAGCCGTTGCTTGAAAATCATCAGTTTATTATTCATTCATACCAAACCCAGTTATGTTGCTAATTAGGTATTTAATTGGTGCTTGCTGTTGTTCTCAAATGAAATGCTGCCATCAGTGGCCTTCAGCTCAGCCTTCTCCTGAACTTGTAGAGGAAACTGAGCCCTGATCTTTAGCATAAGACTCACTTCCTGCTTGAGAGACCTGGAGAATCGTGAGAATGGCATGTGAGTTGTGCACAACCGGGAGATTAGAAAACTGGCCTCTAAGGGAGAATGTATATGTGAGGTGTGGCAATACCAGACCTAATGGTCCTAACTGTTATGGTGAAGATTGTCTAGATTCCAAAGGTCTCTTGACACTAGAGGGAGAGGTCTTGCTTAAGGTCTGAGATTTTGCAGAATAAATTAGAGACATTCTGTCTGACACCTTTCATATTCTCCCTTTCTTAGTGCTAATGTCTGATAAGTAACTTTTAACTACTTTTTCCTACTTTATGATAATAAATACAGACCTGAGGTTAGCTCAGGAAGGCCTCTCCCAGAGTTACTCAGTCCCTGACACAGACTGTATAAAGCCCCCTTCGTTCCTTGCAGGAAGACTCCCTCTTCTGGTGACCCCAAACCCCTTCATCTGTTGACCCTGATGCAATCAGACCAACTGTTCAGACCTCTGGCCACAAGACCTGACATAGGAAACAGTGATTACAGGGAAACTAGCTCATGCATCCATTGGCTAAGGTAAGAAGCCCAAAGATATCCACAGGATGAGGAATCTCTCTTTCACCAAATTCACTTCAGTGGACCTTTTAAACATGGAACAACTTTCAAAAAAGCCACATACACTGCTACTCTCAAACAGCTGTTAAAAGCTGCTGCCTAAGGGCTACATGAAAAAGCCTTAGTTTCACTTTTGCAAACTGTACAGTTACTTTGCTATTTGTTCCCAGATGAAGAAAACTTAGATCTGTAGGGACTGGTTGCCCATGTATTTAAACTACCGGCCACCAGACCACCAAAGGTCAGATATTGCCTTATTTTTTCCCTCATGGCATGGAGCTTTATTAGCACTAATCTCATGCCTTTACATATTTCTGACACAAAGACAAAAGGTTCAAAAGTATAAAACTCTATGCAGGAAATGTTAAGAGTACCCCCACCCTGGCAGGTTAATATCACCCCTACCCCTCCCCTGCCTCCGGTGGTGCCAAAACCCATTTCTCTCAGTCAAAAGGACAAGGACTTATTTCCTCCACCAAATGCCCAAAGAATTAGCCCCATTGGCAACTTCAGCTCCTGACTGGGAGTCTTACTGTAATAACTATAAATCCTCCTTTCAGGAATGTTTAATAGAAGGACTAACACAGGGAGAATGCTGCCTTCTCAGTGGTCATAAAAAACAACCACATGGAATTGGAACACTGACCCTGTTCAGTCTTTAGAAAATTAAGAAAAAGTATCCAAAAGTCAGGAACTCATAATTCTTTCACTGGAGGCCTGCCAACAGGAATAGGAGATGAATACAAACTGTCTCCTTCTGATTGATTTAGTTTAATCAAAACACTACTTACTGGGGCACAACTTGCTGTTTGGAGGTCAAAGTACAAAGACAGTTGAGCTCAACAAGCTATTAAAAACCAGAATGATGATATTCCTATTGCCATGGACATGCTCATGGGAGAAAGCCAGTATGTACAGCCCTACCTACAGGAGCACATGGATGGCCAATGCAGCCAGATCACATTCTGAGCTTGGCGTAAATTACCAGACACCTGCTCTTCTCATGGCTCATCTACTTCCATTCGCCAATGTGTGCAGGAGCCACATGATAAATTAATTCGTGGATCCCTTACGGTCACCCCTCTCTAAACAGATGGACAATGCCACTGAGACTGACACGCTTCTGTCACAATTTGCCAACTTCAAGTTGGAAAAATCATAAAATCAACTAAACCATTATATCCAACAGTTTTAATTTATCATTCTATGAATGATATTCTAACAACAACAAATCAAAAAGCCATTCTTCATGATGCCTGTGTGCATGTACACCTTCAAAAACAAATTTCTCAGCATGGATTAATAATTGCCCCTAAAATAATACAAACTAGAACCCCCATTTCTATTTAAAATACATATTAACTAAGTCTACTGTTCACCCTCAAAATGTTCAATCCTCCAAATAAATCAACTTTAAACAGATTACAACTAGTAGGTCACAAAAATTGGCTTAGACTGTTTTAGATATTCCTAATTACTAATTGTCTCATTTATTCAACACATTAAAAAGTGATCACAAAGGGACACCAGGATGCTCTGGTAAGTACTGTCTAAGTGCTACTGGGGAAACCTAGCAGCTTCCTGGACAGACAGTCCTGGGGTTACAGCACTCCAACACTCCTAGCAGCTTTGCCAAGAGATTTATCCTGGGAATCTTGAGATTCTGCTCTCATATACCCATTGTCCCTAACCACCATGGGCCACCTACTTTATTTGGGTTGTGCACTAAAACCTTTAGTTCTTGTCAGTTCTGATTTTATTGTCAAGATATTTGGTGTTTCTATATCTTGTGTGTATTATGAAAACTCAGGCCTCAATCCCAAATGACAACCCATTAAGACTTATTCTGTCTGACTGGTGTCAGGATGGGTACATACCTACAACTAAAAGGCAACGAAATTTTACTATAACATGGCCAGGCCAATGTATCTATCATCTTGACTCTAGACAAAAATGGCCTTTATTTTTTTTCCTTCTTCTTCTAAGACATTAGAAATTTTATAGCAAAGTGTGATATATTATATCAGCATTATTCATAGCATGTCTGGCTGAAAGCCATTGTTAGGGCATAGATTTATATAATTGATATTTTGATTGAAAATTGTAATTAACTTGACAACATTATTCCAACTTTGAAAGGACTGCATATATTAGAATATGAGATAGGATATTGGTGCGTTTTGCAACATTTCAATCTACATGGCTAATAAAGTTAGAAGGAAAACACATTATTCATTACTCTTTACAATAATTCTTCTAATGGACAGACAGAAGACAATTATTTTTCATGCTGCAATAGGTAGCATCTAGTTAAAATACATAGTCTCCCATATTAATATATTAAAAGAAAATTTGACACAAAAATGCACATTTTCCCAGAAGACATGCTAATATAAACATACATATGAAATATATTAAATGCTTGTCTATGTGCAGTATGAGCAAGAGTGTTTACACACACATGCACACAGGCACTCTCTGTCTAGTTGTGGTAAAGTGACCAAAGTGTCACCAAGGCAATGACAGGAAAGTTACACTATGCACTCACTCGAGGACCTCAACTTTTTTGTTTTAATTGAATGATAAATATGTACATTAATGCAATTCTGGGGTACGGTGTGGTGTTTTCATACACAATTTTGAAATATTTTCACCAAACTGGTTAACATAGCCTTCATGTCATTTTCTTAGTTATTGTGTTAAAACATTCATAGTCTACTCTTAGAAAGATTCACTTGTACCCTTGTAAGATATACCACAGAAGTGATCCCTCCAAAACCCCTCCCTCCACCCATCCCCCTCTCCCCTCTCCCTCCCCCCTCCTGGTAATCTTAGGCTGTTATAGCTTAAAGCTTAGGTTATAGCTTTCATATGAAAGCTATAAATTATCTTCATATTAGAGCTGTGTACATTGGATACTTTTTCTTCCATTCCTGTGATACTTTGCTAAGAAGAACATTTTCCAGCTCCATTCATGTGAACATGAAGGACGTAAAGTCTTCATCTTTCTTTATGGCTGCATAGTATTCCATGGTGTACATATACCACAGTTTGTTGATCCATTTGTGGATCGATGGGCACTTGGGCTTCTTCCATGACCTGGCAATTATGAACTGGGCTGCAATAAACATTCTGATACAAATATCTTTGTTGTAATGCGATTTTTGGTCTTCTGGATATATACCTAATAAAGGAATTGCATGGTCAAACAGCAGGTCTATTTTTAGATCTCTAAGTGTTCTCCAAATGTCTTTCCAAAAGGAACATATTAGTTTACATTCCCACCAGCAGTGTAGAAGTGTTCTCTTTTCTCCACATCCACGCCAGCATCTGTGATTTTGTGATTTTGTGATATGGGCTAATCTTACTGGAGTGAGGTGATATCTCAAAGTAGTTTTGATTTGTATTTCTCTGATGATTAAGGATGGTGAGCATTTTTTTATATATTTGTAAGCCATGCACTGATCTTCTTTGGAGAAATTTCTCTTCAAGTCCCTTGCCCACCCTAAGATGGGATCACTTGTTCTCTTCTAGCTAATATGTTTGAGTTCTCTATGGATTATGGTTATTGGACCTTTGTCAGAGACATAACCTGCAAAAATCTTCTCCCATTCTGAGGGCTATCTGCATACTTTACTTACTGTGTTTTTGGCTGTGCAGAAGCTCTTTAGTTTGATCAGGTCCCAGTAGTGTATTTTTGATGTTGCTTCAATTGCCCAGGGTGTATTTTTCTTAGCTTCTTTAGGAGAATCAAATGAAATAATGTGAATTGAAACATTTTACGGTAACTTTCACTTCCTGCTTTTAGTATGTAGAAATTGTGTGGACAGAAAAGAAAGGTACTATAGCACCCTGAATGCTTTGAAGGGTGGACTAGGTGCCAGTGTTGCTGGTGTCAGTGCACAGCTTCCCAAAAGGAGGACATTGACTGTCACCGTAGTGATATTCAGCAATGAGATTCTGTAGTGTTTTTTCTAGGATGAGTTTGCAAACTTAATTGTCCCACTTTGTATGATCTATTACTAGAAAAGCTAGTTCAGAAAATTTCTTTATAGGTAGCTTTAACATGGAATGGCAGAGGAAATTTAGAAGGATATTTCTAGTTTCCATAATTCACCCTGTGGAAGAGGAACTCTAAGTTTCTATGGCCAACTGTGGGGGAGAAAAATGGAGTAGGAGAAAGGACAAGAGAAGGTCAGATAGAGACTTTGCTTCTGAGGCCCTTTCAGTGTTCTTCAGTTCAAAGTACTCAGCATGTCAGAGTGCCAAACTTCAGAATATCTTTTCCAAGCTCCATCAAATTTAAGCATGCTAGTGTAGATCTAACTCCAAACTATGCTCACGCTTTTGCCCTGGGACAAGGTAGCACTCTCAATGCATGAGTATGAATAAATTTGACCTGAAACAGACAAAGATAGTAAATAATTATACAAGATGAGATGTAAAAATAAATTAATGCTATTTTTACCTATTAAATTAGCAAATATTAGAGAAATAGAAAAGATAATGTTTGACAGTTTGAAGATAAATGAGAATTGGCACTATTAAGGGGGGTTATATCAACAACATAGTGGGATAAAAAATCCCACAAACACATTGATTCAGTAACAATTTATGGATAAATTCCCTATTTTTTGCACAATAAAAGAAAGTAATTGAAAGTCTTCTGCACCTCAGGAACAAAACCACACTCACCAAAGCTGATGGGGAAACTCACAACAGCTTCTAATTTGAAGCCCCACTCAAGGTTCAATGCTGTATAATCAAAAAGAAACACTTTCGCCCCCTCGTAACCAGGAAAGAGATGTCAATTTGTGCATCCAGTACTCCAACTTTTCCAAGGGGACTTCTTCAAAAGTTGGCTTCTTTCTTGCTAAACTTGGAGCTCTGAAGTTTCCAGCACAGCTGTCACCCTGGAGAGAACAGGGGTGTTGGCTTGGGCTGACAGATTCCATGAATCC